TTGTTTTAAAAAGCCTACAACTATCTCGAGAAACGTGCAACTTCTTTGAGAAGCATATAGATACGGCTATAGCATGCAGCTATCTCAAAAAGCGTGTAGTTGCCTCGTGAAGCATTTAACCAACTCTAGAAGCATGCCATTAAGCTAAAAAAATGCAAATGAATCATGTCAACATGTCAAAATAAATAAATGTGCCATGTAAATGCATCAAAAAAATGTGAAATTGCACAATGCAAATGCACCTGAGTATTCTAATTCCCCTTCTACACCACCTGATCCGCAATACATATAATAAGCAAAAAAAAAAAAAAAAAAAAAAAACGAAATGAACAGTGCACGCATCTTAATGAATAATATTCATGTAAACAAAAAAAAAAAAAAAAAAAAAACGAAATGAACAGTGCACGCATCTTAATGAATAATATTCATGTAAACAATAAAGTTCAGCATTTCTAACATTTATTTCAGGAATTTGCACCAATTAAGGAATAATTATTACCATTTCTAATATTTTTCTTTTTTTATTCATGGGTACATTACTTTTCAACCAGTACGATCAAGGGGTGAACTATTTCATCTAACATGCATATACGTTTTTTCTTCTAGTGCATTCCATTTATTATCTTACTTTATTTTTTACATTGAGTTTGTATATTCATGAGTTTCAATAAGATGCTTTCACATTTAATGTTTATTGTACTATTATAAAATTCATTCGCTCACACCAGCACGTTGCCTCGTTAGTGTTTACGCCTACTCAAGTAGGAAAGATGAGATTGATTTGCCTGATTAAAGAAAACAAGACCAACTTATACCAACACCATTTAACAAAGTAAAGCCATTTTAAAGTACAAAAACATAATGTTGCATCCACAAAATGCAACCGTAAGTGTTAATCACATACCTAATACTCTGCAAACAAGCTAATAGAGTTGACAATGTGAAAAAAAAAAAGATAAAAATATTTGAACACCTAGATGATAGCCATGTTGAAGGCAATATCGACATGAGGGGGTCTTTAAAATGCCCCCTAGTTCAAAGAAATATCAATTTAGGGCCGCATCTAGACAGAAATATAAAAAATTAAAAAATATATATAAATCATAAAATATTCAAATGTAATATACTTAAAGCAAAATTCATACGTCCCCCGTAACCATTTGTCAAGGGCAATAAATTTAAAATAATCTTAGCTCAGTCCATGTCTTGTGAAATGTATCACTATATTCACTCTCAAACAATATCTCGTCAGTAAGGACATCACATGTCTTTAACCAATAGTGTTCCATGCAAATGGCATCAAGTAAATGATTATAACTAAGGTTCTTTGACCAGATGGTTTCACCATAAAATGAAAATTAAATAACGATTATGGCTAAAGCACATAAGTTCCCTAATAGCTTAAAACCCTTAAATTGTGAATCATAGGATGCACCTAATCGGACATAAAGCCCTTTTTATTAACTAAGATCCACTTGAATGCATCCCCTTAGATAAACATCAACCCAGATCTATAAGGTTCTCTTGTGCGAAGCAATTCATGACAACCGATAAAAACACTTCAGTCATGTTGGCTCAAATAATTCCTTTGACTAAGTAAATCAAGTTCCATAATAATCGAGAATGACATAACCATAGAATCTTGATCGATTTTATCATCATTCCCCCAGCATCCGCTTTAAGTTTACAATAATAAATATTTCAATTCTAAGCCAAATGTGTTGTTATTACACAAGTCACTTAACATCTAACGACTAGCCTTAATCGAGAGTTCTCTCTTTAATCAAAAAGAGCTAATTACCTATAGAGGCTTCAGTCTATGACAAACCTAAAATCAGATCTTAAAATCCTCACAAAATAAGGGCAATATTTTTTAAATTGTGTTTTATCTAAAGCCTAATCTCCCTTTCGAAACTTCATTTGAAACCAACAAAACTCTCTCAACAGAGCCAGACACGAATTTTTGGAGCCCATGTCATGAAATTTGTTTTGTGCAGATTATGTTTGTTATATTGTATCAACATCTTCCCTAATTACTGGGAAAAATATCATTTTTAATCGATGACATATATTGAAGGAATTATTTCAATTGGGCTAAGCCCTGTGGTTTTTTTTATTTTTAGGTTTGTTACATAAAAAACTCTAATGTAACTTATAAACCTCTTTTGTTTGTATATGTTGGATATTCATATAATATTAAGACATTAAAATTTCTCTTTACCCCCTAAATTTTTTGGCATGCAACTGATATGAAGTACTAGAATATTCCAAGTAAAACCTAACACTATTGGTAAAAACAACAAAAACAATCTACAACTCCAATGAAAAATAGCAAAAAAAAGTAATTTTATTGGAAAATCTGAGAGAAAACACTTGAAATTCACTAGTAGAAGAAAAACAGCAAGATACAATTAATCCTCTATTCAAGAGGAGGATCTATCTCTCCCAAATCTCTAGATGTCGTTGGAGCCCAAAAGAAATATGAACCAAAGAGATCCCAAATTCAAGATGCCCTAACCCTAGGAAAACAAACTATTTAATGCATACGATTCAAAAGAAAATCTCTAAAGAGTCCCGACATTCAATTTCCCTTCTAAACTTTCTAAAAAAAAAATCCTAAACTGCTCTATGCCGCTTGAGCGTCCAATCGGGTGTACAGGAGGCGGAGGTTTCCGCCTCTGCTAGCGCCTGGGCCGGTCCCGTGTGGATTGGCTAGACCGGTCCAACAATACTCCCCTCCCAAAGATCCACCTTGTCCACAATGTGGAAAGACGACACCCTCCTCCATTCCTTCATCACAAACGGTGAGAACTTGAAGAGTTCAGTCCTTACACATGTGCCCCGGCGTATACCTCTCGTCACATCTGAAATAGAGCCCCTTCCTTCTCCTGTAATTCTGTCCCTATGAGCTTCTTGAAGTTGTCCCCAGGTTTTCCTCCTACAGTCTTTTCCTTCGAAGTCCCCCGAAGGGTATCCAGTGTTGGCTCCTTGAATTTCAATAAGGTGGTGGTTATCCTATATGGGCCTCCTGAGCTGCTGCCTCTCGTCTCTCTCTCCAGGTGCCTCTGATCTTCTACCAATTGAGCTAACTCTATAGCCTCTCCCAAGTCACGAGGCCTCATTACTCTAATCGCTACCTGAATCTATGATGTCAATCCCTTAATGAAGTTTCCCTCTAGCATTGTCTCAGAAAGGCGGTCCAATCAGCTAGCAAGATACTCGAACCTCTTTCGGTAATCTATCACTAAATCATCTTGCGTCAAGGCGAAGAACTGCTCGTAGAAGTCTCCTCCCCTGGCAGTTTTGAAATGTTCTATCAAACAATCCTTGAAATCTCTCCAGGTCCTTATTGGTTGCCTCGTATCCCTCCACTGGTACCATGCTAAAGCTTTCCCTTCCAAACACATCCTGGCTGCCATCAGTCTCTCTCCCTCCGTCAACCCGTTCATAGTAAAGTACATTTCCACTTTGTAGATTCACCCATGGGCATCCTCTCCCTAAAAAATAAGCATCTTCAGTTTCTTCACCCTTAGATCGCCTTTGTTCCCTTCATAACTTTGCATTCCCCAAGGGGGCGGTTCCCTCCAAGTGTCCCAATCATCCCTTCTGCGTTCATAGCCCAGCCTTTCATCAAATTTCTACCTTCTCCCCTCAAATTCAGAACCCCTTGGATCATAACAAACCCCTCCCCTCTCAAATTCAGCCCCCATTTAGTCATAATTACCCATTTCACTTTCCAATCTCGCCTCTCTCCTCTCCAAATCAGCACATCTTCATTCTTGCCCTACCTCCTCACATCTCTCCTCATACCCTCTGCCTGGGCTCTAAGAGAGGTATTCTCTCTTCTCTCTTTCAAGTCACCACCTCTTGATCTTCCCTTTGCCTGATTAGCTTAGGGTTTTTTCCATCTCCCTGGCTGTTAGTGCCTTCCTTCCCCTCCGACGGTGATATTTTGGTTTGGCTCTCGAGTACTTTCTTCAACATCTCCTCTAGGATGAAAAATTTCGAATGGAACTTATCATGGATGGCTAAAACATCCTTCTTTAAATCTAAAACTTGAGTTTGGAGATCTGAAATTTCATATTTCATTTTTCCAATCTCCACTTCGAGGCGTTCCTCCAACGCATCCATTCTCTTGGCCGCCATTGATGCCCGAATTTTTGTAGAAATAAAAATATGGACTTCAACCTTCAAAAACAATAATTTTCTTCTTCGAAATCCCAAGAACAGCGACTGAAATTCACTAAAACAGCCCACAAAAGGTCCCAAGAACAGCTCTAATACCAATTTGATAGGAAATACTCCACCACAACAGTGAAAACTATTGTTTCCAGATAAAAACAGCAATAACATAGAAGAAAACTTGAGAAAATTCAGTACAAACAGTGAAAAAATTGAGAGAAAACACTTGAAATTCACTAGTAGAAGAAGAACAACAGCAAGATCGATCTCTCGCAAATCTCTAGACGCCGCTAGAGCCCAAAAGAAACCTAAACCAAAGAGATCACAAATTCAGCCCAAATTCAAGATGTCCTAACCCTAGGAAAACAAACTATTTAATGCATACAATTCAAAAGAAAATCTCTAAACAATCCCTACATTCAATTTCCCTCCTAAACTTTCTCAAAAAAAACTTCCTAAATTGCTCTACGCTGCTTGGGCGTTCGATCGGGTGTACAGGAGGCGAAGGTTTCCGCCTCTATTAGGGTTTGGGCCGGACCAGCTGGACCGGTCTAACAACAACACTTGATTTTTTTTCTACTAATGTGGAACCAATTGTTTCCCGTGTTATATTTGAAGCGAAACAAAAAGAATAAATAAAAGAGAGCAAGATTCTTATAAAGGTTGAAAATACTCTAGCAATAATTTGCATGCAAAATAAAACAAGTATGATGCTTCCCAATAATGTAGACTGCTGAATTTATTGAATAACAGATCTTAGAGCCCTAAATAGAAGGAAGTTTAAAGAAAGGTAAATAAGTCTTAGCCAGAAGATGTACCGGCAAGCTGTTAATAGCAGCCAAAGCTGCAGAGACATGATATGCACATGCTAAAATGTTCTCCAATGTTGAAGGTACGTCCATACTCCAACTAAAGTGCATCCAGCGAGGCTGATATGCCGACAAACGCATGGAATGGGCCAATATAAGCATGTCACCAACATATACAAAGGTGCCAATGCCACAAGGATATGAACCATAACCAGGATTAAAATCTACCAAGGATGTGTTTCTTCTTAGCTGGAAGCATTCTGATGAGTAAGGTTTTGCATATGAAACTTCAAACCATGACATTCCAGGGATCAGCAGAGGTTTCATGCAGTATTCATTCTGTTACATTCAGTTACATAAATTAGTTTGATTTTATTAACCAAATAATGAAGAATTAAGGCTTTGATTGGGATGGCTTTCTTACTGCTTCTTAAAGCAACTTTTTAATATAGAAATTTAAATTTTTAAACTCAAAAGCTACTTTAAGAAACGGTAAGAAAGCCGTCCCAAATGAAGCCTAAATCTAAATAAGAAAATCTATGATTCCCAACAACTTTAACTACAATAAGAAAATCTTAATAACAGATAGCATTATTGTGTATAAAAGGATGGTATGGGAAAAAAATAAAGGCTGAAAATGCCATACAACTCTTTAAGTCGAAATTATATTCTCAGTGCCAGAGAGTCAATAATGACCAATCTAAAAACTGGTTTGACATCTTTAAAACTACTAATTTCAAAAAGTTAAATCACAAGATGAAGCCTTACATATATGCATTTTCAATGTGTGTTCATCAGTATACATAAATCAATTTGTACCTTTGAACATGAGCAAGGGTTCTTGAGAAATCCAGTGCCTCCCCATCCTTCTCCACATTTGGTAAGTTTAACAACTAGTTCAGGGCTTAAGCAGTGTTTATTTTCTTTTTTGTAGCGACCATGATGCTTAGAACTAATCTCAAAAAAAGAACTAGAATTAAGACATGGCAAACCAATAAAAGCTGCATGGCCATCAGGACATGAGAAATTGTCATCCAGGACAGAAACAGTCTTGCTCTCTTCTAGTAAAACGTTGGGAACACAGTACCCCTTTTCATTACTGCCCATTCCTTGAAGCAACTTGGTATCGACCTGGACCATTTTTTCCATCAACTCATGAGGGGAATGTATCTTTTCTCCATCCACCGACAAAATGACATCCCCGCGTGATAAATAATCAGACAAAGGTGATGATGGGGAAATCTCCAATACCTGTTGTGATATAGCAAGATGGAAAGAAGCTTTTATGTTTTCTCATAAAATATTGGAAATAAAACAATTTGATTGACTGAATAATATTTAGTAGACCTACCATCGCATTCTCACCATGAATATATAAGGGATGCAATGTTAAAGGCAGCAGGAGCAAAGCAAGTCCACAAACCAAAGAAAACTACGAATGAAAGATATTCATCATATCAATAATCAAACAAAATGCATTTCCACAAAAGTTGGAATGGTGAATCAAATATGCCTGAAAAACTACACAAAAGAAAACAGCAAAATATGTCGTGTTTTCCATCAATAAGAAATGTAGAAAACAAATAGAAGCACAAGAGTCGGGTCTTGGCCAAAAATTGTAAATGCTATCAGTAAATATTTTATCACCATACAACATAAAACAATAAGAAAACCAATACAAGCACAAGAGTAAGATTACCTACCCCAACATTTTTTTGTATCATTACTATTCAAAAATAGAGGCTCTTTGGGCTTACTTTTTGTTTGTTTTTTTTTTTTTTTTTATCTATATTTGATTTGTGTTTTTAGTTATTTTTTAGTTTATTTCTAAAACCAATAAACCTATTTAATATGCAAATATTAGAGGCAACTTTTCAGTATTTTTTAAAGTGCTTTTGATGAGGACATCGTCAGTAATTTCGACATGTGTACCATCGGAGACGCCGGAGATCGACGGCCACGATCAGGAGTTTTATTTTGGGTCATTTTATGTAGTAGTTTATTTTATTTTTCAGTTTTACGGTTTTATCCTTATGGGTGGTCTTTTGATATTGTAGCCCCGAGGGCATTTATGTCTTTTAGTTTTGTTTCATTTTGGCCTATTTATAGGAGGCCTCATGCATTGTATGGGAGGATGAATTATTGATAATGAAATTTTTATGTTCTTGTTGATCTTTTAGTGAGTTCATGTTGATCTCTTAGTGAGTTCATGAGAAGAGAAGCCCGAGGAGGGTAATTTGCAATACCCGTCAATCTTTGGAAGAGTCCAAGGTTCGAGATTCTTACGATCTCTTTGTGAGTTCATTAGTTATCTCTATCTTTCTCATATATTCTTGTTCATCTCCTTTCTCCCCTCTTCATCCACCCAAGTCTTCCCCTAGCTCCACCTCCCCAAGCCGACGACCATCCCCACCTGATTGCCGACCTCCTTCCCAAGGCCTTCCCCACCCAATCGGCGGCATCTCCTCCCTCCTTTGGACCGCCGGCCACACTCATGATCCGAGTCATTATGACATTCAAATCGTCATAATGACTCCTTAACTTGGGTTTTGCAATAAAGGGAGAATCTAGCAATTTTAAATTCAAAATTTGAAATTCAAATTTGAGTTCAAAACTTTTCATATTTGTAAAAGTCTAAAAAGGAAAGTTTTTGAATTTGATCCAATCCAAATTTCATGACATGTGGAATTATTAATTTTTATCCTATGTGGCATCAACATGATGGGAAGGTAAATAACCAATCCCTAATCTCCCTCCTCCCCTCTCTCCATGCCGCCAGCCTCACCATGAATGATCACTTTTGTCATGATTTGATCCATTAAGGGCATAAAGATGATTTCCCAAACTCTTGAAAGATTTGCATAATAAAAGTTACTAGCCATAAAAAATTTATCATAAGCTATGTAACACATCCAAAAGCTAGGTTAATCAAGCACACTTGTTTTAGGATTTTTTTTTTTTTAAGTGAATATTTGAGATTCACACTATATCCTACAACAAGTCATAACAAATATTTTGGATATATTGCAAGACTTATGACAACCCTACAAGCTCCACAAAATTTCTAAATCATACTTCTATTTCGTCGTGACACTAATGTTGAGTAAGTTCACGTTTACAACATGAAGTTTGGGGTGGATATGCAAGCTACACACTATATTTTTTTACTACGAAAAGCAACATGCCCTAAGGTTTGGATGTAGGCGAAGGTGTTGAGCTTAATATGATGCATAACATACATTCGAGAGATGTCGGATAACAACCCGACGCCTCTACGCGTGTCAAAATCCTCTCCGGACTCTCACATAAGAGTCAACCAATGGAAATCACAAAATTTCCATAATCTTTGCGAAGTGGACAGCCAACGGATGGGTTTTTGGGGACCAAAAATTAAAGTTTCTAAGGACCTAAAGCTTTGGATCGTCAACCACATTGCATTGGCTATGGAGCCTTAGGGTTTTGCCTAAGTTTTAAGGATTTTACCACACCCGGTTTGTCCAAGCGCTCCGATTTTTTGTCCAAGTTGCTGTCCAAGGTCCGCTCCAAGCTCCAATCCAAGCTCCAAAGTCGCTGTCCAAGCTGCTCCGGAACTCGCCGCTGCTGTCCAAAGCGATTTGAAGGCTCTAAACTGCTGTTTGGAAGGTTTTGAAGCTCTCTTTTGCTGTTTGGAAGCCTCAAACAGCTCCCAACTTGTCTCGAAGTCGCCGGAGTTGAAGGAGAAGGGAGGAAAAAGTGTTCTTCTGCAAGAAGTGTCGCACCGGCCCAAACTTGGAGGAAGTCGGAGGCTTTAGACCGAGCCTGAAGGCCGGTAGCTCCAAGAGATCCGGCGGGAGAGTGAGACAGAGCCTCCAGAAGACTCGGCCGACCGTCCAGGTGGAGTCGGACCCGAGTTCCGCACGGCCTGGAGGTTGCGAACGGAGGGGGGGAGACCGCGCGCTGGAGCCTTGGTTCCGCCTTGCTCGCTCTCTCGCTCTCTCTGTCGGGACGGGGTCGAACGAAAAGAAAACCGAAGGAGTCGAATCCCTCTCCCTCTCTCTCTCGTTCTCCTTGAGGCGCACGAACTGAGCCCAGCCGCTCGGAACATCCCATCTCACTGCTGCCTCGTTGCGAGAAACGAGAGAAAAATCTACTTGAGTAGATTTTTTGCTCACATGAGGTGAAATTGGGTGGGATTTAAGATCTAATCTCAGCCCTAGATTTCAAAGAGGTGGCTTGAAAGTCAAATTCAGCCTAAATTAACAAATTAAGGCTGAAATTGAGCTCAGATTGAACCCGACTTGGGTCGATTTGGGTCCGATCGAGTCAATTTTATGAAATTGAGCTCGAATCGGCGCCGAATGGTGTCGAATTGTGTCGAATTGAGCTCGACGACGCTCGACGGGGTTTGACTTAAATTGATTTGATTTTAGTTTAATTAAATTTGATTTAATTTAATTAAATTGAGGTTCGATTTGAGTCAATTTCGTCTTGACGACCTTCGATCGAATCGATCGAGCACAATCGGGCTCGATGCGAAAAAGTACGTCAACAGAAAGAGAGAAAAATAAATATGCCTATAACCAGGCTAGAATTCCGATAACAGCCTCATTCTTTATTTTCATAAAAATAAGGATATGTTGGAGGAAATTACTATCATTTGGAGTTCTTTCTCAAGGGCCATTCATAAACTATTGAGATCTCAGCATGGTCCGTTATGCTTGAAACCACCTTCTGGCAATTTGTGAAGACTTCTCTAAAATGGTACAACAGAAGGCCCCATTCGCTAATGCGGTCAAAGAAATCATACTCATGAAAAAAAGATATTCATAAAAAGCATGTTTCCTAGTATCTACTTCCCGAGGGTAACACAAACTTGCAGAATCTTTGGCAAATATTTTAAACACTTCTATGAACCATGTTTTCCTTTATAGTTACCTCAGATTATGTCTTGGAGTGGTGGAAATGCAGGCATAACTTTGATGTTTCTGACCATCAATAATCACCTTTTTTATCATGATAGAAAGAAATGCCTTATGCACCTCATCGTGCATGCCTTTCTTGACATGGTGAGATGGCATGACACGCTTCCTAATAACCCCTTATAGGAATGACGTGAAAGCACTATCAAAGCATCTAAAAAAATCATTTGCAGCAAACTCATGATGAATGAATAAATGAATTGAGGCATGCAATCATACTGAAAGATTCCTAAACACAAAAAAAAGAGAATTAAGTTAAATAAATAAAATCATGAAACAAGTGATGAATAAATCACATGGGTAAAACACCTAAAATTTAACTACGTAATTTAAAAAAAAAAAATACTTATCAAGGAAAAAGAATATGGCATATTAAGATGAGCAATCAAACCAATATCTGCCTAAATTAAAACACACAAAAACATTCACCTTCAAAATATTCACAAGATATTTAACAAACTTAAGAGAATTGCAAAATAAAAGGGATTCCAACTTTGTGGATTAGCGAAAAGTATAGAACCTCTGCTCCACTTCGATGGACTCAACAGCTCGGGTCAAACCTCTTCAAGGTTTTAAATTCCAAATATCTCTCAAAAAATATATGCAAAAATCATACATCATGATGCGCCCCTCAAATTCCTCAAGTGTCGAGTGCATATTGAAGCCAAGCATCACCCATATAAACTTGTGAAATCTCTTTCAAAACTATCCTAGCAACTCAACCAATTTTCAAACTCATGCATGTATATAATCAACTCACCCACCAACTGTCTCGACGGAGTGGCAAGAGGGCACTTAACCTCGATCCCTAGGGTAACCACCAAAGCCTACAACACCAAGTATGACACACTAATTCATTGTTGACCTGCATACTAAAACCGGAATAAACAAAAAAAGGAGGGCTCTCGTACCTATAGCTAGCACGATCGAAATCCCGCAAATCTTGCAAAATCGGACATCCTATGCACGACCCCACATCGCTCGTTGCACATCGACGTCGTTTCACACACGATCTTCGTATCTCGCCTTTCGTCGTTAAAAGGCCGAATGAATGAGGCTCTCGGGATGAATCTCTCGCTCTCTCTCACTCTCCCTTCCTCTCCTGATTCTCCCACTCTCGTCTCTGTTCGACCTCGCTCATTCAACGACTTTCCTTTCCCGTCGAGTCGGAAGTTGCGACATTTGATCGGAACCGAGGCAGGAGCTCGCCGGCATGAAGACAACTTTCTCCCAATCGCGCGCTTCCTCGACTCGTTCGTTGCTTCTCGACTTCGCTTCTCCAGCGACGTTCCCTGCCTGTAGGATCGGAAGTTACGGCAGTTTGATCGGAAGCATCCACTGGAGCTCGTCGGCAGTAAAGGCGACTTTCTTCCCTTCCCGTGGCTTCTTCGCTTCCTTCGTGGGTTCTCGACTTCACTCCTCCGTCGACTTTCCCTTCCAGCAGGATCGGAAGTTACACATTTTGATCGAAAAG